TATTATATTTTGTCCGGTGATTGCTTTCTGTCTCTATTCCTAAAGGTGCTGAAATATGTATTAGCGTCGGAGTGTTCCTATTCATTATTACCACATGAACGATTCTGAAGAATCCGACAATAAGCTCCCTAGGCGTGGTTGCGTCGGAATATTCAGTGTCAGCGATTGCTTTTTTTTATTATACTCTTTATAGCAAGAGGCGCTGGAGGCGTCGTTTTCGCCTGATTCCCAATTTGTTTTTTGTGGTTCGTCAGACCGCTGCATTCATGCTTGGTGTACAGAAACAGGTACATTTTTGATTGTTTCGGGCCGCATGTCCCTTTCGTGGTTTACAAGTTCTTTGGTCGTCGTTTAGGTAAAAGAGTGGCCACGTTTGAAACAGAGCACGATAACCACTTAAGAATTGTATCGTGGAATCCAAAGCATTTTATGGTGGCTTCAGCCTGCACGAAGCTGGTATGTATTCTTGATATAATTAGACATCAGCTTGTAAATTCCCCAACACCCATGAAATCATTTTCAAGAATTGCTGAATTGTTTTTCTGGAAAAACCAATTTTGCGGCTTCATTAAAGAACAACTTTAGTACTCATAACTCTTCCTTTTTTCCGATAGGGGATAATGGAATGTTCCTTCCCGAAGTGTTAATTGGACTTTATTTTTCGATTAAGGCGCTAGATAATATCTCATCCCATTGCATCATTGACATCCGCGACATTGCGAATTTCAGCGAGTCTGGGGCCGGAGCAATTTCCAGCTTTTCAAACGATACACCAGCGTTCACCAGCGATCAAATGGTTATTAAAACTGGTGGGAGTCTCTCTCATGCGCACGTTGACCCCCCCCCACTTTCCCATGCTGCCGAGTCCTCGCGGGCTCTCACGTTTTGTGAGCCCGGGGAAGTGGCGTGAGCCTACGAGTGTAGAGAGGGACTCCAGCATTTCCAAACCCTGTCAAGGCGCTGGTGCAGCGTTCAAACTACTGATGCATAGTTCGAACCGCTGGGCCTCGCTGTACCCCCGATTTGCTAGCGTTTAGCTGGATTCGCGAGGGATGACACCGGCTCAAAGGTGCTTCCATTCAAAAAAAAAAAAAAAAGATTTTGCTTAGGGATACGGCATCGAAGACAGTTGGTACATGTTTTCCAGAGTATTCATGTATTTGTATTTCAGTGTTTCTGGATCCCAGGCGACGAAGTGGTCGAGAACTGAAGCACACTTCAGACAAAAGATTTCATTTGTTCTCATGTACATATGCATATACATCCCTTTTATTCACACCGTTGTTAATTGTACTAAGAAGGTTGCCTAGCATGAAATAATTTTAGGTTGTTTTCAATCTCGAAATTATGAAGTTTTTACATAATGCTCGAGCGATGTAAGCCTCCTGAAAGACGCACCATGTTGAAGGTTCGCAGCTTTGTAAAAGAAAGGTAGATACGCAGAGGAATAAGCGTGGGAATCACCTTCTGTTGCCCCAATTTTTCGAGCTAGCGTTCGAATTACTTTCAAACTTTTCCTGCAGAGTAGATTTTGCCAGAGATCGTCTGGCGCCGGTGCAAAAAATATGGAGCAGTGGTACGACTATTGGTCACGGTGGCATATGAATGCTGACAAGGGAGGTCTTTCAGGCAAGCCACGCTTTCAAAACGGTTTCTTGCATATTGTAGGGACGCATGTAGGGAACACAAAACCATGTTTCATTTTCGCTGAACGGTTTAGCAGTACCAAAAAAGCATAAGGTACTGTTAAGGGTTCGATCCCCCGTGGCGACTAAATTTTGCATTTGGGTTGGCGCCTACGGTTTGGTGCCAAATCGCGCTAAATCAAAATCAGATGTCAAATTCATCGTCAGGGACCATTTTGAAGCCAACAAGTGGCCGCCAACCTTGATTGCAAAATTTAGTCGCCGCGGGGGATTGAACCATCAAGAGTATTATTCACCACTTTTTTGATACTACTAAAACCGTTCAGCGAAAACGAAACATGGTTTTTTGTGGTCCCTACAACGTGAAAGAAACCGTTTCCAAAAAGCGCGGCTTGCCCTCAACACAACCCCTTTGTGAGAGCAATGTGAACGCGGAGAGCGGTTCCCAGAGGTCCGGCAGAGTCAACCCTGCGTTGCGCAGTTCTCAACGGCCACGTTGCGCAGTTTCGCCCGATTAGACACGTTCTCTCGCGCGAACATTCACACTCGCATGCTCGAGCCGTCTGCGTCTCCGCCCATACAGCGTGCGTTGAGGATCTCTCAACGTGCCGTTGCGAACTGCGCAACGCAGGGTTGACTCTGCTCCATGAGAGAGCATAGCAGTATCACTGGCGATGCAGACAAGATATCGAGCGGTGGGGGAGCAATGACAGTGTGAGTTGCCAAAGCCTCAGCGCCTAGCGTCTAATAACGCTTTTCGAAGTAGGGAAGTGACGCGACCTCTGCACTTGCGTACCTAGCGCTTCTAGCCACAGTAAAGGCTCATTAAGTGGGTCTGAGCCCGAACTTTGCCTTTAAGTCATGGTGGTGCTCAACGATGAGCTGAGTGATACCCTGCTAGCTGTTCCTTCATTGTGATTCTGCATTCAGGTCTTCATGGCGTCGTCTATATTTGTCTTAATCGAAGGATACGTGTCGAAGTTTTAGGAATGTTAAGGTAACAATCCGCACCACTCCGTCAGAGCTGTTGCTACTATTCAGAGTAGACAGCAAAACAGTGTGTGAAAGATGTTTTATGTCGTATCCTTTTGTGTTGGCTTTACGCGCATCTCATACAATACAAGTTCCATTTTGGAAGAATATCTCAGTCAGCGTTGCACCATTATGACAGATTTTTCTTTTTTCTCACGGATTCACCGCATCATCACTGCTGTTCTCATAAATCTAGCTTGCGTTTATACGTCTATGCGTTTATCCATTCCATGAGTAAACAGCATTGTGTGTGTCAGTGGTCTAGTATGAAACATCTATCACCTGATATAAGTGACAGTCGCTTTCTACACGAGCGGGTCGCTTTTGTCAGTGTGCTTGACATGTTAAGGAAATTCATCCAGCATGAGCGAACATTGCAGTAACAAGAGCGTCTCAGACCATCTCGAACATCTTCAAATTTATAGATGCATCTGGTTGAGAAGGCCTATGGCCTAATGAAGCCCTTGGATACTTCAGCAGGTTAGACCGTCGATACACAAAGCAAAGACTGTGTAGGGTTGGTGCAGAAAAACTTTCTGGAATTCAGGGGAGCGTTTAAGAACATCGAGGGAGTAGTGAAGAAGACGAAGAACATCCGGCTCCGTGCCCACCTCTTCGATTCCGCAGTCCTTCCTGCCCTAACCTACGCCTCAGAGACTTGGACTCTGCGCAGGCAGGACGAGCATGCGGTCAGCGTTATCCAACGCGCTGTCGAGAGGACGATGCTAGGAGTAACCCTATACACGCAAGTGCAGAGGGGAATCCGGAGTTCCGAACTACGCCAACGATCGAAGATCAGGGACGTTTTCGCCAAGGAATCGGAAGTGGAGGTGTGGACGAAAGACTTGTTCTCCGAATGATGTGGCAAGTAAGGAAAATTCCGCGGGTACTTAACATTTCAGCGAGGAATACAAATAAGATGGGCAAAGAAAATTGTGCGGCGTAAGAAAGTGCTTGTGAGTCATTGCGTTTGAGAAGAGCCCATGCAATTCCTCCCTCAAATATAAGGATCACTTATATCGCCTATGCTGGGGACGAGAGCCTGCTCTCAGCGTCATCGCAACGTCAAAGATTCGAATGTACGCTCAAGAAGTGTCCAGGTACGC